CAGAACAGTTCCTTCCAATCCTAACTCTGCACCTGGAAAAGATCAGAGACCCAAGGCAGCACCTGCCGATCCTTTTGCTAGTGCGTCCAGCAAAGGTCCACAGACTTCGAAGTATCTGCCCCGAGGTCGCAGGGTCTTTCATGCCTTCTACATGCCTTTGTCCAAGGCTCTTCGAATCCTCACTGAAAATGGTCATCTCAAACCTCTTGATCCTCGGCCTCTCCTGAGTAATCTCCCCCTCTCACATGATGCTACCTAGTACTGTGCGTACCATCAACAGACTGGTCACACCACCGACAACTACTTCTGACTTCGCCACGAAGTACAGGATCTGTTTGACGACGGGGTCATCCTCCCATCGAGCTCAGCAAAGTCTGTTACCACTGGGTTGATGGACTTCGAGGATAATACAAGTATGTGATCAAGGGTTGAACCACCTGCAGGCGTCGCTCAGTTTATTCCGGATGTGGTGTATGGCACGCACTGTTTTGAGCATTTGCGAATGCTAGTTTTTTTGTACTTTCTGACTTGGGTATTTAGTCAGTCTTTTCTTACTATGTCGGTAGGGTTTGTCTTGTTGTATCAAGTCAGTCCTGTTGTATAGGAGTCGGGTGATTTCGGGGATGTTATCTCGGGCATCACTATTTTGTTTTGTGTTTGTCTTTTCGCTTTCTTTTGAGTCTGTTTCTGCCATGGAGCTAGTTGTGCCAACAGATCTAAATGAAAAAGCATTAATTTTCACACTCTTATGTTTGCTTCTGCCTTGCGCCAGTTGTGCCAAAAGTTTGAATAAAACGACAGTACTTTTCACCTACTTCTTCTGTGCCTCGAAATCATTGCATTGACCTAAGTTTTTTACAAAAACTTTTTTTTAACAAAAACGAAGAGGGAGGAATTCCTCGGGTTTTGCAAAATTTGATCAAACTGAAAGAAAGAGAGGCATGCTAAGCCCTTACTGAATGAGCTCATGTTTGTTAACGTGAGTATTGAGAAGGATCCTGGCTTGATCCAGATTGGTTCTACACTGTCTTCAGCCCGAGCGATTTGTCGCTTTCTTAAAAGATTTCAAAAAAAAAATGTTTTGCACGATCCTGCAAAGACTTGTGTGGAATTGCTCTTGAGATTGTGCAGCTTAGGATCACTCTCAGCCTCGAGACTCGACCCCTTTGCTTTCAAACCTTGAAACTGAATTCAGAGTGTTCAATGGTCAACCATCATGTGAGGCTTGTGGCCAGATTTGAAGCTGCCCGTGAACTAGGGCCAAGAAGACCAGATATGATCAAAGGAAGCTTGCAAAGCTAGATCAGAGGCATCCCTCGAACTAGAAAAAAAAAATGTCAGAAGCGCTCGAAGAGTCAAAGATGGATCATTCTAAAAATCAACGAAGATCGGCAAGAATGCCAAATCCCAAAAGGGAATAAAGAAGAATTTATTGTTGAAGGACAACTGAGCTCCTATCCACAACGCTAGGGGCAAATTCAGCCCCCCATTAGATAGACTCCTGCATCATCAGCGAACAACAGCCATTCTCCTAGATTCAGATGACTTTAGGATCTCAAAACCATTTGACATGGACAAAGCTACACTTTTACCCTTGAGAGGCTCGTTGGGCCGAAAACCCGAAAGGGCGACCTAGGCAGAAGTTAGAGCAAATAAAAAACAAAAAAAAAAAGAACAAAAAAAAAAAAAAAAAAAGAAGAAAAATGCAAAAAAAAAAAAGAAATGAAAAATTCTGAACAAAGAAAAGAAATGAAAAGAATTGAAAACAAATGAAAAGAATTAAAAAGAAAAGAAAAAGAGCTCGCAAGGTTGAAAACCCGGAAGGGCGGCCTTGGCAAAAGTTAGAGCGCAAAAGGAGAGGTTAAATACCCGAGTGTACCTTGACCAGAACTACGTAAGGCTTGATTCCCATGTTTGGGATACGTAGGCACCTTTGTTCTGAAGTCTAGCCATAAACACTTCCAAATCGATTGTGTCCATGTAATGGTTTTGACCATCTTTCTCTTCGCTGTATCCGAGAATTCGATTGTGATCGCCACTTTGAGGACTGATTACAGTATGTTGCGGCGCTATCCAAACAAGGGGCAACTTTCCGTTGCCATATAATGTGCTGCATTCAAACAAGGGGCAATTTTCCATTGCCATACAGTGCCGTTCAGACAAGGGGCAATTTTTCATTGTTTTGGATCTGAGGTTGTGCATCTCAAGAGTAGATTCTGTGTTGGTCGAGCAGTGGCCATTTGCGAAAACAAGCTTTGAGAATTTTTAATGAAGTTGACTAATTTTCTCAAAAAATTGCTTCATTTTTCCAAAATCAGACCATGTCTTGGACCCAAAAAAGAAAAATTTTCAGCACTCATAGCCTGACTTGCATGATATTAAATCAGAAAATCGAACAAGTGTGTCAATCTAACTCTCATCTTGATTAAAATTATTTTAGTAGAAAGCCAAAACAAAAAATGGTCAAAATGATGAACTAGGGGCACAGTTGAGTCAGGCTTCTTGTCTTTTCCCCGTTGTCAATGCGCTCGCCAGAAAGGGCACTATCCTTGCTAGAAAGGACCCCGTATTCGCCAGAAAGGGCATAGCCAAAGTTAACAACAAAGGGCTGAAAGCTCTCTCACCCTCCAAGCAGCGAGATATCAACCCAAGTGCGAAGCACGAATTGGAATGGATCAAGATACTCCACTCCCTCATCCGGGATATCGACTAAATGTCACCGAAGGAAATAGCCGCGAGCTAATATTGTTGGGAATGAACCCACAATTCCCCATTTACCCATCAACCATACATGGGGAGGGATGAAAAATGAGAGATTGAATAATAGAGAGATGTGCGTGGAGAGAAAAAGTAAGAAAAATGGCTTTTTCAGAAAAACAGAGCCTGAGGGCCGAGTGATGTGAAAATCAAAAATGAGAACAGGTGGGAAACAATACCCAGAGAAACAGGCTCCCTGTGCACGTCTGAGTGTCGTGACTTTTGTTTTGTCTCGATTCTTGTTTTTAGTTGTTTCGAGTGTTACTCGATATGTTTAGGTTGTTTACCTTTTGTTTTTCTTTATTGAGTCGTTTTGACTGTGGTCAGTTGTAGACTCAATACCTGGTTGAGAACCCTTTTCTCATTTCAATTTAAAAAATGAATCGTTTTGTGCTCAGAGTGCTGTGCTATTCTCGACATTTGTACAAAATAGGATTTGTTCTTCTGTAAAACCGCAGGGTTTAACCCAGGTCATGTCAGAACAGTAAAACTAGGACCTATTTGAAGCTACATGGGTTCCGGACTACGAAGCAAAAGAAAAAAGGAAAAATTCCGAGCATCTGAGTATGTTTCAACTTCTGTACATCCCGTATATTTAGAATACGTCGTGTGCAGAATAAACCGAGTACTGTGTTATGGGTTGCGTGTTCAAAGAAACTGAGTACTGTGTTATGGGCTGTGTGTTCAGAATGAGTAGTGTTCAGAGTGAGCTGTGTGTTCAGAATGAGCAGTGTTCAGAATGGGCTGTGTGTTCAGAATGAGCATTGTTTAGAATGGGCTGTATGTTCAGAATGAGCAGTGTTCAAAGTGGGCTGTGTGTTCAGAATGGGTCTTGTGTACAGAATAAACTGTGCGTTCAAATTAAGCAGTGTGCTATATGAGCCGTGTGTTTAGAGAAACAGAATACCGTGTTGATTATTTCAAAGCCCGAATGGCGATCAGAAGTGCCCTCCCTGAGTATCGTTCCATGCCAGGGGCATCTTGGCTGTGCTTGCGAGGAGTTCCTAGGAGATCAATCGCGACGGTGGAAACCAGAGTTCGAATGGTTCTTGCCTAGAATGCAAAGGTTTAGAATTTCCGAAACTAAAGTCTGGTTTGAATACCCAGGGGTGTATCCCCGGCTTGAAATCTGTATGGAAGCCCCGTAGATTAAGGTATCAAAGCATGTATGCTCCTCAATTCTGGATACCAATCCAACCTAGTCTGTCACCCCGTTGAAGAATAGGGAAAGTTCTGAATATGATCAAGAAGAAGAGCAGCATCCGTGGTTTCCCTAGCAGATGGTACTCCTTGCCAGCAATTTAGAACCTTTGAACTGTGAGTTGAGGGTTGGTGTTCGAGGAACACAGGGAGGATCCCCATCCGAATAGAGCAGTTTATCGCCACTCACTCAGTGAGGTGCTTGCTAAAGCGCCACTACGTTTGTTTATTGCATTCCTTGAATGTCATGCATTATATTGCATCCTACCTATCAATTTCCTTTTCATTCATGCACAGTATTGTATGTACTGTTCATCCAGAGAAATTCCAGTTCAGTTTTACTGATACTTTTCCTCTCTCGAGTGTGATACGTTGAGAGATACTTCCTTTCCTTTCTTGCGTGTGCTACGCTAGGAGGTTTTTCTCTTTTGCTCTCCCGCCTGTGCTACGTTGAGAGATGCTTTCCTCGTCTCTCGCATGTGCTACGCTGAGAGGTTCTCCCTTCCCCCTTGTTCTATGATCAGTCTATGTGTGAAATATGCTGAGAACTTGTGATTGGCACCGCTTCCAATGCCTTTCGGATGTTGGTTTTGCGAAGTTACGCCTATTTGCTTATGGAGTTGTTGTACATTTGTTTATCGAGTTGTATTTTGTCCTCTTTAAGTCTTTGTCTTGCTGAGCGAGTTGTAGTTACACTTGGTTAGCTTGTCAAGTTCTTTGATTTGCTTATCGAGTTGTTTTTGTCGTTAATCAGTTCATTACGGTGCAAGTGCTTAATTTTCAAACGAAAGTTCAAATCTCATTTACATTGTTGTGTAATGCAATGCAATGTGATGCGATGCGATGTATGAAATGTACAAATGTAACACTTTTTGAACAAAACAGTTGTTTCATTTCATCATGTCTTTTGCAAAAAGTACATAGTTTTTGAGAAAGTAAAACCTGCCTGAGGCAGTACAAGGTGCTCAAACTACCAGCAAAAAGAAAACCAAAGCCAAAAGAAAAGAAAAAGCAGCAGAGTGTCTGAACAAGCATCAATCATATTAGGCACAAGAGTCTGTCCGCGTCCTCTTCCTGGACGAAGGTCCAGGAGTATCACCGTCAGCTCCGTCATCTGAGCCCGAGCCCGAGCCATCCCCAGTCTCACCCTCAGATGAATCCACCTCTGCCTCAGACTCATCGTCGTCTGGAATCAGTGCCCGTGAGCTGCTCCCAACGTGAGTACACCCGGCTTTGGTACGGGGGCGTACTGTGGCCCCTCGCCCTACTCTCCCCGCTGCTCGGGTAGATATAGACGGTCCTCCTGGAGCACCCCCTGCAGCCGGTATTTTGAATGGGGCCTGAAAAGGACAAATGGTAAATGCATAAGTTATGCTATGCAAAGCAGAGTATGAATACCGAGTGCAGTGTATGAGTACACTGTATGAATGCTGTGAGCAGTGTATCAGTACAGAATGTAGTGACTGAGTGCAGTATATGAATGTCGTGAGCAACGCTGTGAGTAGTTTGTGGGCTACAGTGTATCAATGCCGCGAAGGCCGTGTATCAAGTGCTGTGTTGATAGTGCGATGCATCAGATTATGTAGAGTTTGAGATTGTGGTTGAAAGAGCTCACCGGGATACTATAAATAGCCAGCAAGTCGAGGCTCCGCTATAGCATCCCCATCACGAAGGCAGTCAACTCCAGAGACTAGCGAGTGTACTCGGCGGAAGTCTGCAAGAGTGTTAGAAGCATCAGTATTCTGCGGAACATCAAGAGACATGAAATGAAATGACTGTACGAGATGCAAAATGTAGTAGTACATACTGGGGGCAAGCTGTAGAATCCAACTAGCTCGTGATTAGCCGGAGGAGGAGCGATGGGGATCTGGTAAGTATCCCCACCCTGCCCTCGGCATGTCATCATGGTAGGCAGTTCAGGCCACCCAGCTCCCTGCCCTCTCCGAGACCCACTCCTACCTCGGGCCTGAGGTGCCCGCGATGCTCCTGCTCTCGCCGCTGGCGCTGCTGGTTTCTCTCTCTCAACTCGGCCGGCACCGGTCAGAGGCCGCATAATATAGGTCTGGACGTACTCCGTATAGTCGCCCTCGTCTACAAAGCGCTCATGGCTCCAGCCAATAGTATAACTCATCATCTCCGCTAAGGTATACCTCTCGGTGTACCTCGCGTGGGTAGGAGGAGGCGCTAGAACTGGCTGCACTGGCATGCCCAAGGTCTGCCGCAAGAAGCGCTCCCCGAAGTACCAAACACAGCAGACTGGGCCCTCTAGTAGAATCCTGAATCGGGCAATCTCCTGAGCGCCCGCATATCGATCCCTCACCGCGTCGGGCAACACCGCCCACGGCTGCCAAGTGATCTGTAAATGGCAGGATATACAGTTTGTTATCTATTATTGAAAGTACATTGTAAGGTGAAGCTTAAATGAACTGTAAAGTTTAGCATACCTCGGCAGCAGTGATGGTGTCAAAGTAGCGGCGGAAGAACATGAAGGACTCCCGCGATCTCCGCTCGCATCTCATATCAAAGCGGTGGGAAAATGGGACCATGGGGGGCATCTCCTTGTCTGGTACTGAGGCAAGCCAAGGGAAGTAGGCGTACACCCACAGCTGCAGAGTCTAACAGAGCAGACATGAGTAGGCTTATCAGATAAAGCAGTATGCATAATGAAGCAGAAGTCAGGGGCAGGGTGCAGTGTATTGTGCAATGTATGTAGTGTGTTATGCAGCGTGTGCAGTATACAGCCAGCGTAAAGCTAGTTGCATGCGCGCAGTGTGTATGGTGTACAGATAATGAAAAGCATAATTGAAAAGGCAGAAAGGGAATGTGTACCTCCCAGGCTCGCCAATAGCCTCCAAGCAACTACCCACTGCGGCGGGACGATGAGCTCATATAACCATAGAGAGTGGCCAAGCCGGCACCACCCTAGTCATAAAGGCAGATCTGCGTCACGTCTACAAGCGCACTCAGCAGATAGAGGGTGACGGTGTTCGCCCGGTCGGTGAAAAGCGTGGTCCCTAGCAGAAACATGATAAAACTGTGGGCGTACTGCTCCTCCTCCTCCCGGGTAGTAGGCGCCTGGATCTGGAAGTGGTCCTCGAACCATGAGTACCTCATGAATCCTGCCCAGGTAAGAGGTGACTGAGTGCCAAGCAAATATAGATGAGCGGCATCCCACTCATCCATGTCTGTATCAAAGGGGATCGGATCACCCCCCACCCCGATGCCGGTGAGCATCGAGAAATCAGAGGGAGTCATCGTCATCTCCCCGGTGGCAGAAAGGTGGAAGGAGTCGGTGGTGTCCCACCACCTCTCCACCAGAGTAGCTAGAAGGGGCCTGCTCATAGTGAGGCGCGAGAGCCCCATACAGAAGGTCCCAAAGCCAGCCTGGTCGACAATCTGGCGGACTGTGTCAGGCAGCTCCATATACTAATGAAGCAGAAGTCAGGGGCAGGGTGCAGTGTATTGTGCAATGTATGTAGTGTGTTATGCAGCGTGTGCAGTATACAGCCAGCGTAAAGCTAGTTGCGTGCGCGCAGTGTGTATGGTGTACAGATAATGAAAAGCAGAATTGAAAAGGCAGAAAGGGAATGTGTACCTCCCAGGCTCGCCAATAGCCTCCAAGCAACTACCCACTGCGGCGGGACGATGAGCTCATATAACCATAGAGAGTGGCCAAACCGGCACCACCCTAGTCATAAAGGCAGATCTGCATCACGTCTACAAGCGCACTCAGCAGATAGAGGGTGACGGTGTTCGCCCGGTCGGCGAAAAGCGTGGTCCCTAGCAGAAACATGATAAAACCGTGGGCGTACTGCTCCTCCTTCTCCCGGGTAGTAGGTGCCTGGATCCGGAAGTGGTCCTCGAACCATGAGTACCTCACGAATCCTGCACAGGTAAGAGGTGACTGAGTGCCAAGCAAATATAGATGAGCGGCATCCCACTCATCCATGTCTGTATCAAAGGGGATCGGATCACCCCCCACCCCGATGCCGGTGAGCATCGAGAAATCAGAGGGAGTCATCGTCATCTCCCCGGTGGCAGAAAGGTGGAAGGAGTCGGTGGTGTCCCACCACCTCTCCACCAGAGTAGCTAGAAGGGGCCTGCTCATAGTGAGGCGCGAGAGCCCCATACAGAAGGTCCCAAAGCCAGCCTGGTCGACAATCTGGCGGACTGTGTCAGGCAGCTCCATATACCATCCTCGGGCCATGATGTTCTCGTACCCTCGGAAGGCATAGGAATCTCCCTGTGATAAAAAAAGAAACAACAACAACAACAAGCAGTTGCGAAGCAATGTTAGAAACACAATGATTGGAAACGTGCAAAATTGATGAGATACAGTGTGTGTACATGTGTCTGAATGCCTTCAGAACCTAGGAAAATGTAGTGTGTGTGCATGTGTCTGAATACCTTCAAAATTTGGGAAAGTGCAGTGTGTGTGTGCCTGTGTTTACGCTCAGGATCGATGAAAATGCAATGTGCGTGCATATGTTCAAGTTTAAACAGATATCGGGAGTGAGTGTGCTCACAGTGAACTACAACATGCGATATATCGGTGAATCCGAGTCAAGTAGTTAAAGAACAGAATCGACTACTGTAGTTATGTGTTCTACGTTGCGGAAAATGAAACAAAGAAGGGTGTACCTCAGAAGCGCCGTAGGACAGATGTGACTTTGGCTCGCGCAGCAGAAGCTCCAGTGGTGCGCCTCGCGCATAGCTCCTGAAATGACGGAGGCTGTCAGGAGGAAGCACATGTATCGCCGGCTTGTAGGTCGCCGGATCGAACGGTCGGATGTGGAGAGGTAGGAGCTCGACCTTGGGGTCCACGTCCATCTCTAGGGGAGCCCCCACCGCCTGGGACGTCGTCTGCCATCTCAAGAAAGGTGCGAAAATGGCCGAAAATGCGAAAATGGGCAAGAATGCAGAAAGTCAACCCCGAGAGGGTGGAAAATGGGAGAAAATGTCGAAGTGTGGGAAAAGGCATGAAGACCGAGGAAAACTTGGGGAAAAAAAGCCCCAAGTGGTGGAAACCAAGGAAAAGTCACTGAAACCGAGTTTTGTTCGGTTCAAAGTGTGCGAAACGAGAAGGGTTTCACGAATCAAACGACGAAAAGGGCCCGAAAACCAAGGAAAAACGAGGATCGAAGGTTAGGAAATCACCTAAAGAGAAAGATGAGGGATTTTTGAACTAAGAGGAAGTGAAAATATAGGGTTTGAGGCCCTATATGTAAAGACCCGTGGCTAAATGTCAAAACTGCCCCGACATTGCCATTTTTGGCTGGTTGGCCAAATTGTTAGCCGATCGGCCAAATATTTGGCCGATGGGCTTATTTTGTGTCCGATGGATGGCCGGTGGCCTCCCCTCGTGGTCGATGCACCTCCCACACCCTTGTTTGCGTCAGATATGATGTTTGGGACCCTCATTCCTCAAGAAAGTGCAAGAAAATACACTGTTGAAGCTCAAACCGGCCTCCGCGTCAACCTCATCATACCTTCCGTGTGTGATGCTCGGTACGCGTATGGTGTATCCTTTTTCGTATCTTTTTGGTATCTTGAGAGATTCAGAAATTTCTTTAAATGCGTTGCATTACAATGTTTTTGTCTTGCGTTGTAGTGCACACCACGTTTACATTGTTATGCACGTCTCTATAAGCGTTGTAGCGTGCACCCTTTGCATTGTTATGCACGTCTCTATGAGCACTATAACGCGCTCCTGTTTGCATTGTTATGCACGTACTATATGCGTTGTCGCGCACGCCATGCTTGCATTGTCGTGCACCTCCCTTAGGTCGTATTGCCTTGCCCCCCCTCCATCCGCGTTTGTTTCACATGTCTCATTTGCATTATCATGCACCTTATCAAATTACGCTCATTATCATGCATTTCAGTTCACATGCATTGTCATGCATTTCAGTTCACGCATTGTCATGCACCTTTCATTTGCATTGTCATGCATTTCAATATTATGCATTGTCATGCATTTTCCTATCGTGCATTGTCATGCACGTTTCATTTGCATTGTCATGCATGCATTGTCATGCACGTCTCTCTTCCATCGTCATGCATTTCCTTAACTTACATTATCCTTTGCTGTACACATTGCTTGCGTTAGCACGCATGCTTTACTTACATGTGTTCATACATTGCTTGCTTTACACATTGCATACGTTTCCGCGTGTGCTGGAAAAAAAGCCCCAAGTGGTGGAAACCAAGGAAAAGTCACTGAAACCGAGTTTTGTTCGGTTCAAAGTGTGCGAAACGAGAAGGGTTTCGCGAATCAAACGACGAAAAGGGCCCGAAAACCAAGGAAAAACGAGGATCGAAGGTTAGGAAATCACCTAAAGAGAAAGAGGAGGGATTTTTGAACTAAGAGGAAGTGAAAATATAGGGTTTGAGGCCCTATATTTAAAGACCCGTGGCTAAATGTCAAAACTGCCCCGACACTGCCATTTTTGGCCGATGGGCTTATTTTGTGTCCGATGGATGGCCGGTGGCCTCCCCTCGTGGTCGATGCACCTCCCACACCCTTGTTTGGGTCAGATATGATGTTTGGGACCCTCATTCCTCAAGAAAAGGCAAGAAAATACACTGTTGAAGCTCAAACCGGCCTCCGTGTCAACCTCATCGTACCTTCCGTGTGTGATGCTCGGTACGCGTATGGTGTATCCTTTTTCGTATCTTTTTGGTATCTTGCGAGATTCAGAAATTTCTTTAAATGCGTTGCATTACAATGTTTTTGTCTTGCGTTGTAGTGCAAACCACGTTTACATTGTTATGCACGTCTCTATAAGCATTGTAGCGTGCACCCTTTGCATTGTTATGCACGTCTCTATGAGCACTATAACGCGCTCCTGTTTGCATTGTTATGCACGTACTATATGCGTTGTCGCGCACGCCATGCTTGCATTGTCGTGCACCTCCCTTAGGTCGTATTGCCTTGCCCCCCCTCCATCCGCGTTTGTTTCACATGTCTCATTTGCATTATCATGCACCTTATCAAATTATGCTCATTGTCATACATTTCAATCTCACGCATTGTCATGCATCTTTCATTTGCATTGTCATGCATTTTAATCTTTCGCATTGCCGTGCATCTTTCATTTGCATTGTCGTGCATTTCAATCTCACACATTGTCGTGCATCTTTCATTTGCATTGTCGTGCATTTCAATCTCACGCATTGTCCTGCATCTTTCATTTGCATTGTCATGCATCTTTCATTTGCATTGTCATGCATTTTAATCTTTCGCATTGTCATGCATCTTTCATTTGCATTGTCATGTATTTTAATCTCACGCATTGTCATGCATCTGTCATTTGCATTGTCATGCATTTTAATCTTTCGCATTGTCATGCATCT